CAGCAGGGGTCATCACGGCTAGGCCAGGTTCCACAAACACGCAGCACCCTAGCAACACATATTTCAAGTTCAAATCAGCACCCAGAGAGCTATTTATGTACACAATTTACTGCCAAATTTCCTGTGGGAAGGGTTTCTCGTAAAGAATGAAGATATCTCCTGGCTTCTGGAGTTTCAGGCCAGGGGGGTGGTAGTCTGCTGACTATTTTGTCTCAACTTGGCAGTGTTACTCTACTAAATCGCAGTGGGGTCAGCTCAGGACAGCCACAGCTTAGTGTAAATGCTGCTCTGCTAGGCTGAAGTTTCGGGAAAGGCAGAATGTTTAAGATTTTTTAGTTGGAGACTCAATTAGATGCAATCTGTAAAGCATTGGTTAGCATCAGTTTAGAGACAGCACTCATAGAGACGAAGTTCAAAAGAGCATGCATTTGCCATAGCATGGGCATCAAATTTACAGGCTATGGGAGAAGAAAATCCACGTATACTTGCGCAGAATAGTCCATCAATGCAAACAGAGATATGGGGCATGTCATCACGTGCTATTAATGCAATATAGGAATCCTGGCCCAACCAGGGGATCGCTGGCAGCTGCCCCAGTAGCAGGGCAAGTGCTAGCCAGCCTCCTGCTGGGCAGGGAATCCTCCCCTGGCAGCTGTCCCACAAGCAGGAACGCTGCCAGAAAGCCCCTGGCTGAGTGGGGAAGCAGAGCGCTCCCCAGTCTCAGTGCTGCTCCACTCCTGGCTCCTGTGGGGAGCTGGGAGCTGAGCAGCACCAGGACTGGGGACACAGAACTTCCCCCATCCCCTGTGGCTCCCTGCTGGCGTGGCTGACAGGGAGCAAATTTGCTCCCAGTCAGCATCTACACGAGCAGTACTGTGCAGTTAATAGCTGTATTTACAGGTACTAGCTAACTGCACAGTAGACATATTTACTGCGCAGTAAATGCCACACACATGTAGACGGTGATGCTTTACTGCGCAGTAGATGAGTCGTGCAGTAAAGCGTCTTATGTAGATGTGCCCAAAGGTGCATACATTTGCCGACAGGATACCCAAGTTGTTCTTCAGCAAAGAGTCTGATGAAGATTCTTAATGGAATGAGATGTTAAGGATAATGAAAAGAACATCGACAGCCCAATGTGCTGACAAAACACACACGTGCCAGGCAAAGTTCCAAGAGCCCTGAAAAATAAAGCAAAAGCAAACCTAGATGCTGCAGAGCATCCACCAGACATCAACTAACTCAATTTAAAATCTGGCTGCTGGAATGAAACCAAACAAGCTAAAGGTTTAAATAGATCCAAAAAAGGCTACGGTGACTGAGCACAAATACCACCCACCAAATGGGAACAGTTATGGGAGTTATGTTTCAGCATCAAAATGCCTGGTTTTAGTACTGTAAGGTCCAGCTTCAACTGAGAAAGTACATGAGTCGGCACTTTCAACTCCCCTTCTGGTGGGAATAAGGACCAGCAGCTGCCCTTTAGCCTGCCTCAGTCCTTGAGCTATACCAAAGTCTGTGTCTCAGAGGTCTTTAGATCTCCACTAGCAGAAGCAGCTGCTGATTTGGTATGACTGATCAAAACCACACTGCATAACATTTTGCAATGTATCTAAAAACCTGAATTTGAATAAGGACAATCCAAAATGAACTTATGAAATTCTCTCTCACATAGTGAAAAAGGAATCTAACAAGGCAGTAAGGCAGGCAGAAAAAAATGTACAACTAGAAGGACTATAAAAGATACTGACACTGATGTTAGCAAGTCCTCAGTGATTTATAACATAGTAAGTACTCCAACCATAACAGTGCCTCACAACTATACAAAATGCTTGGCAGGAGAAACATTTCAGGGATCAAAAGTTGTCAGAAGGGAAAAATCAAAATATTTCAGGATCAAAAGCCTAAATATTTCCATTGATACTAATTCCCATGGTATGGATGATGTCCTTTTACATGAGGGCTACCTTGAACAGAACTAGGGGTGGAAAAAAGGCAAAAAGTGATAGTAACTGCTACTTTCATCCAATTCAGAGAGGGGGAGACAAGAAATAAAGCCCATTTCTTTTAAAGCAACACTCATTTGTACCAGTCCCTTAATACAATTAACTCAAGAAAGAATCCATTGTCTTGGAACACGTATATTAATTTATTCCCATTTCCAGAGGAAAGCATTTGGTGGTAGCTCAATGTCCAACATGTAGCAGCTAGCATCAAAGGTTCAAGTATTTTTCGGTTTTAAAAAGCAAACAAGTTTCAAACATTGAACTGAAAACCTTGCTGCAAATCCCACCCCCCCACATTTCCAGTTCAAGTAATATAAGTTTCAGAAATAAACCAGCTCATCACATGATGGAGAGAATGTCAAAAACTTTAAAGCTTTATGTGGTATAAATCCCTTAGCAGGGCATGAAAGCAGCAGGCAGGAAATCTTCTACAGCTGAACTTGCTTATCCCCTGGGCTCATTTTTTTTTCTTTGGTTGTACAATTTTTGCTATCAGTGTTGCTGAATGCTTCTCTCTAACATTAATGCGATTCATTACCCAGAGCAGAAATTTTCTACCATTGGATTACAAGGATGATGATTTGTGATGGCACAGAAATATTTAAACAGGACACTCTGGTTAGGCAAATAAAAGAAATAAAACCCTGAATTTTGGAGCTCTGAAAAGGGATGGGGAAGGAAAAAGGAATGCAATATGCTGAGCAAGTATCACAGAAATCATTTGGAATCTATATACGTTTTCCATTGCCTGCTTGGGTCATGTCTAATAGTTTTACAGATCTGGCTTGTTTTGGGTGCAATAGATTTATCCTTTTTTTCAAACAAATTTTGTCTTTCAGAATTGAAGTTCTGATGGGCTGTCAGTTAGCCTGTGCTGATGTGTGGTTGTGAAAACCTCTAAACCAAGTAAAAATAACTAGTTTCAGATGTAATGAATGGAGAGTCCAACCTTTTTGCTTCCTACTTTAAAGTGCAGGGTTTTTTTTAACTAATAAACAAAAGTAAATCAAACATGTTTTTCAAGCCTCTTGCTTAAATACCCATTTCTCAATTATCATATAAATGTATGAAATGGCTTTTCACTGGTGGCTGGCTGTATTGTCTCACACACATCACATAATACAGGAAACAAATTAAACTTGCTAATGACATGGATGCGAATTGAAAAATGACTACTGTGACATCTCCAGCCAATAAATACCTAACTCTCAGGGGTGAACATGGAGTTAAAAGATGGGGTGGGGATTTGTGCCTTATTAATGTTTTGCTTTTTTAGCATTCCAATAAAGACATTGGAAATGCGAAGGCAAAATGATTTCTGATTTTAACTACTTTAAAAGTTGTTTTTATTTAAAATGGGTATATTTGGAAGGATTTAAGAACTAGCAAGAGGTGCACGTGTTCTTGCTTCCTCTGTAAAGACGATTACCAGATTAGAGAAAAAAAAAAAAAGGTCCAAGAAGCATATTCCTCCTCCTCCTCTCATCCATAAAGAATTCCCTGCTGGAAGCTTACACTACTGCTCTGCTGGAAAAGACTCCAGGCAGATATAAATTCTTTTCTTTGTTCAAGCTGGCTAGGAGGCCTGTAGGATTAAAGACCTAACTTCTATTTGAATAATGTTAGCATGAGACTCTTGTTGCTTGCTTCACTAATTTTCTTTACTTTAATACATACATAGTATTTATGGTAGCTGAGACTGACTTTCATCATTCATGATCTTCAGCTGGTTAAAAATTAAAGTAAATTTGTAGTGGGACCTGTTCACACTAGGAGCTGAATTATGCTGGATGCCACAGAAATACATGCAGACAATCACAGTAAACAAAACTGGTGAAACAAGCAACGAGACTCTGAAACTATCATTTTTTGCTGGGAACAACCTGCTATCTCCACTGAAAATTTCAGAGAAATGAGGTAAAAGAGAATATAGAGGAGCTGTTTATTAACACTGAGTGCACATTCATCAGTGCATCTCAAAGCTCTTCCCACAGATGGGTATTATCATGGCTTTACAGATAGGGAGACTGAAGCACAGAGATTTGCTGTAATTTGCCTAAAACCATTCAAGCAAAGCAGAGTCCTGTGCCCCTCAGTTTTCTGCTCCAATGTAAATAATTCTGCCTCACCTAAAATGTGAATTGCATCAGTGCATAAGATGTGTTGCTAGTGATTCCAGTTATAGAAATACTTTGCTTTAGCAAAGTTCACCATAAAATAAAAATCTTAATCCTAAAAAGGTGTCCGTCATATTTTATATGTCACCCCAGAACATCTCCCTACAGGGCAACCGTGTGTTCCAAGTATGAGATGTGGTTCTTTGGTGATTAATTCCTGTTTTCACATTAGAAATGTACTTGCTCTGTCCAGTGCACATCTGTCTCAGCACCATAAAGCTGCATTCAATTACTAAACCCTACTATAGGGATCTCTGCAGAACACTGTCTCTGATTAACCCTCATTCATAGCAGAACATGTGTGTGGAAGTCTTAGGCTCCTGGCAGATGTTAAAATAACTGCATGATAGGATCCAATCCCTGATCCCAACAACTGAACATCCTGCTATGGCACACAGGCATGGCAAGATGAACAATTATGGGGATCACGGAGTATCCAATCATGCAACTGCCAGAAGCCCAGGCCGGCCTGACCACTGGGAGCCTTTGGTCCCCTGGACCCAGCAGCCTGGGCTCCCACTGCTGGGAGCAGGTGGGCCGAGGCAGCTCCAGGCCCAGTTGAAGACCTGGGGCTGCCCTGGGGGCTGATGCCAACTGATTGTCAGCACTGGGCTACTTGGAAACCTGGGACTGAATAGGGCTGGTTCTGACAATCTGCTTATTGTCAGCATCAGGTACCAGATGGCCCTAGTCCGTGGACATGCCATGCATTCAATTTAAGGTGCAATACAAACCAGCTGCAAAGATGGATTGTGTGTGCAATCTCTTTATGGGTGCTTTGCCATTTTATGGCACCTTATATTGGGTGAATGTATGGCACTGTTGCCATTTATAGTGTGGTTAACGTGTTAATATCCTAGCTACAACAAAAATAGAAAGTAGGGAGATGTACTGCTCCTTATATTAATCCACGACAGATTCAGCAGCTTGGATTCCACTCTATTTATAATTTTAAAGGACTTAGTAACTGTATGAAAGTTACAAAGACCTGACTCAGAAGCTGAAAAGTTGGAGCATGGATCTAGAGGGGGTGTGGCTGGAAGACCAACAGTTTTCCTGACGTTTGTCACATGGCTGTGTACAATGTGTTTAAAGCATTATCAATATATTACATGTTTTTTACAGTAGCGTAGGACTGAGTCTAAGGCCACAACACCTGTGATAGCCACCCCTCATACAAGAGGTTTTTTTCTGCAGTGCCTTGGGTGATTCACATTTCCTCTTCCTGGGCTTCAGTGGTGTTTCCCCCACTTTGACAGTGGCATGACACAGGTAACATACCACCAGTACCACTACTGCATTCAGAGCGTTCACTCGCACAAATATGTTATGTAGAAGTGTCAGTCATGCTCCACCCCAATCACCTTAAATGAAACAGGAGAAGGGTTTATCTGGGTAAGACAGACCCTGAGGGCCTCTGTGAACACACCCTTGCCCCCAGGCTGTTTTCTGGTCCATACCAGGGCCAGAGATGGAGCCACCACCTGTGATACTGCAAGGCATGGAAAGAAACATCTAACAGAGCCCTAGAAGAATGGCAGGAATTAACTCTCTATAATCAAAGGAGATTTCTGTTTGTTTGTAAAGAACTGTGCATTCTTGTCGCATGCTGGATATCATACAAGAGTCTCTTTCAAATTATACTGTAACTTTTGGAAGAGAAGGAAACATTAATCAATATCCTATTGTTACAAAAGGGTACCAGTTGCTACACATGTGCATAGGGACATTGCTACAAGCTTTGTCCCCTCCCTGATACACGTATAACTTGTTCGATTATTATAGACAAGCTAGTTCCCTTTTTCAACATCTGTCTTCCTCCTAAAGTGCTCAGAAGGCCTGTAAGGGGCTGCCCAGCTCTGTTCCCATTCTCTCTGGGCAGGAATCTCACCCCTACACACATTTTACTTACCTTTTCCCCTTCATTCAAAACCTCATCCTCATCCAACCAGCCTTCTCTGTCCCTTTTGTTTACAGCTCCAAGGCACTGGAGCTCCATCATGGCAGCTTACTCTCTCAGGTAGAAGAACAGGCCAAAATCCACCCCTGGAGGCTGAATTTGATAACGCTTTAGCCATTTGTGAGCTTCAGCTTCTCAAGACAAACCAAAACTGAATGTGTAGAAGGCCCTGTTCATATTGGAAGCAAAACTATGCTCTATAAAAGTGAGTTTAAACTTGACTATTACTAGTATGATACTACCCTTAAGGTGAAAAGGGTCTTGGTGAGACAACCAAATTCATGCATACTCTCTCCCATGTCCTCAAACAAGATCTTCATATTACAAGGATTCATGGGAAATGCTAGAAACAATTTATACAGGCATGATCCACACATTCAGTAGAAGTTTGTTCTCAGTTGCTGGCCCATTTTAAAAACAAAACTGCCTCCAATCACTGGCCTGTCTGAAAATAGATTTCACTTCACTTGCATGCTGGAAGGAAATCTTTTAAAAAGACTCTACATTTAGAGTCTGGAGCATAACATACTGAGCTGGCAGCCTGAATCGGAAAGCGGTAGTCCTTTGCTGCCAAATATAAATGTAAACCGTCACAGTGTGGAAGCCATTTGGACCCCCAGTGGTGCAGTTCTGTTGAATTGCATGCATCTCCTTAGGAGAGAGTATGTAGCAGCCAAGAGCAACAGGATACATTATGATATTTTAAAACGAGTCTGGAAAGGTCAGCAGCTGGTTCCTAGTGGTGAGGAATTTGCATGCACTACTTTGAAGTGCACCCCTTTCCCCTTCGCTCTTCTTGTCCCCACCCCCAAGTTTTATATATATCAAACACGCTGGTGATCAAACAGACTCTCTTTCAGGCACTACTGTTGTCATTTTGCTTGAGATTTCAGCTCCACCAATAGCATCACCCTGTTTCCCCTTATAATCGGAGGTTTCTTCTGGATCTCAAGGAGATTTATATACCAAAAAAACCAAGTCAATTAGAAAATATAATCATCTCCTCTTCTTGGAAGTGAAACTGCCCCCATTCCAAATTGAGGCAAGATTGTTACATCTTTAAATTTCTTTCAAAAGGTTCCACTTTAAGTCAGTCTGAAGTGTGATCAGGCCACTGCCTCGCAAATGTCCCAGTCCACCTGTTCAGTACATTGTAATGACGACACTGAACTCTGAGGCCTCCATACTCTATATTGACCCTCTGGTCCTATATCAGGGAGATCCTTTCAGTCTTCTTCAGCAGATTTGAACATGAGAATGGCATTGTAGATTTTCAGTGCAGGACCCAGCTTGATGCTCAGTATTTTAACTATGTCGGTCTGGTTCAGAAGCAGAAAGGCTTCACCATCTATCTGCTGTAGAAGGGAAAAACAGTATATAATGAGCGTTATCACCTAGATATTGCCTTGATTCCATTCCCCTCTCTTGGATTTCAATTAAATAAAAAAGTATTTAGAGCAAATGAAAGAAAACAGAACAACAGCTTGAAAGACTGAAATCTTATATTTGTCCACAGGTCTTGTATTCACAGCAGACCAGTACAAGTTTTTAAGGCATACTGCTCCCCTTCCATATATCCCAACCCTAATGTCTAGGGCCCATCTCTGGAAGCAAAAGGGGCAATGTGTGTTGAATTCTGCTGTCGAGGTTGCTGGTAAAGGTGAAGCTGGAATCTGTTACAATGGTGGTTTACATTTCCTAGGAACTATACTGAAGTTTAAAAAATCCTGTTTTAAAAACTTACCAGCTATCAAGAATCCCAAAAATGATTCAAAAACAGAAATCAGACACCAGGTCCCTGAAATACAGTGGATAGGTCTACACGTGTACTCTAATGCGCAGTAGCCTATTTTACTGTGCATTAGTGTGTCATGGTAAAAACTGTGCTAATATGCTAATGCACAGTAAAATTAGGCTACTGTGCATTAAGCATCACTAAAAAAGCATGAGCTTTTACTACTGCACATTAGGGCAGACTAACGTGCATTTAGTTAGTACCTCACGTTACAGGTACTGAATGTAATGCGCAGCAGCAAAAGCGCATTAATGACTGTGTAGATGCACCCAGTAAGACACAAATCATCAACAGGATGATCAATAGGTGCTACCCAAGCACTGTGGCATCATGTTTGGCTGGGAACAATAAAAATCATCATTTTCTGCTACAGTCATAACAAACTGCTACTGAACAGAGCTTCTCAGCCTGTTAGACTGTGCAACAGCCAACAGAGCAAATAAAAATGTGATGTGCATCAGCAGATGTGTCACCAATATATCCAAGGTGCTCCTCCCCCTCTATTGGTCATTGGTAAGACCACAGCTGGAGTACTGTATCCAGTTCTGTGGACAAGCTTGAAAGGGTGCAGAGAAGGGCCACCCGCATGATCAAGGGCCTGGGGGATAGGCCTTATAAGGAGAGGCTTCGGGATCTGGGTTCGTTCAGCCTGAGTAAAAGAAGGCTGAGGGGTGACTTGACAGCCGCCTACAAATATGTCAACAGAGAACATCAGGATCTGGGAGAGCAACTTTTCAGAAAAGAACCCCCTGGGAGGATGGGGACCAATGGGCACAAGGTAATTGGGGAAAAGTTTAGGCTCGACATACGGAAAAACTTCTTTTCTGTCTGGGTAACTGGAATCTGGAACACACTTCCAGCAGGGGTGATGCAGTTGCCATCCCTGGTGGTGTTCAAGAGGAGGCTGGACAAGCACCTTGTTGAGCTTGTTTGAGCCCAATTACCTCCTGCGCATGGCAGGGGACCAGACTTGATGATCTTACAGATCCCTTCCGGTACTTCTTTTCTATGATTCTATGTAAAGCCGGAGGACCTCTGACTTGCTGACCCCACTGTGTGTTTTGGTTACAGCTGTTGACGCCTTACAGCTAAGGAATCATTTGCAATGATTTGAACATCTGGGCAGTCTGGCAAGCATGCCCATAAACACAGAGACTCCATTTAAAGAAGGAAAACAAAAGAAGTTAAGAAAATCGGTTTCAGCAGCATAAAATGGGATTCTTTAATTTGGGGAGGAGAGATGATAGAGTGGTAAATGAAACAATGAATGGTCGGGAGAAGATAAACTGTCCGCTCCTACGTATACATTTTCAAAAGATGAGAGGTAATTAGCTGTGTAAGAGTGAGAGGACTTCAAGTAAACTGAAAGGAAGCATATTTAAAACCAATACAGGTTTCCCTCGCTTTATGCTGTACATGCATTCCTGGAAAACAGTGCATAACTCGAATTCGCATAAAGGGAACCCACTTTACAATGTAACAAATAGGGATACGTTCCAAGACCTCGACTGTACTGATCCCCAGACCCATTTCTACGACTTTTACAAGACAATTTTGGTACTCGCCAACAGCAGAGAGGAGTAGGAGATAGGCTAGTGGGATGCTTAGAAGCCATAATGGGGAAGACAACTACAGAAACACGTGTTGCAGACAACGAGCAAGAAGCACAGATCCGCACAGGAGACCGTATTTTGGTGTGCGTCACTCCCACAATGCACCGCGCAAAGCAGCTGACTGTGGGCTTCCACCACATTGATCGCATAAGAGTGAATTCACACATACAGAACCTGCATAAAGCAAGGGAAACCTGTACAAGGCAATAGTTTTTTAATGCATGTATTTAAGCCATGGAACTTCTTGCCACTAGATAACACTGAATGCAAGAGTTTAATAAGAATAGTCACAGTTACCCTAGAAATGATGAAGACTTAACTCGTATAAACCCCTAACGCTTCAGGGCAGAAGCCAAATATTAACAGATAAAGACAAGGAAGAGATGTTTTCCCTGTGGGCCTTTACTACATACGTGTCCATTACTAAGATCTGATATGGGTAAACATTAGAAGAAGAATACAGATCAGACAGGGCACATTTCTGCTCCAGGAAGACAATTCTTATGTTCCTATTATTCTGCCAACTAGAATTTGTTTTTGCATTTTAACGACTGGTTGATCAGTATATAGCTGCCTAACTAGACTGGACAGACATATGGTATGGCACAGAACCAGGAGCCAGCAGATGCATTTCTATTCCACCTTGACCACAAACTCAAGTGCAATCTTGAGTAAGACACCTGACCTCCGTGGGCCTTATCTACACCTTCAAAGCAGGAAATACAGCAATGCTCCCTAACAACCAAGCAGTCAGCTATTTTATTCATTCGTGTTTGTAAGGTGCTTAAATACTGAAGTACTGAAAGGAGTGTAATACAAATTATTTGGGGGAGGAAATGTCGCTTAATTAAACTAAATCTAGAGCAGGTGTCAAAAACCTATGATCCGTGGTCCGGGATCTGGCCAACAAAGAGGTTGGATTTGGCCTGGGAATCTCTGACGTGGCCTGGGGGATTAAGTGGCAGGCAGCTGTGCAAAGCCACCTGTCCCCTCCACAGCATCCCCTTTTGTAGCTCTCATGCTTGTCCTTATGCCTTACTGCAGAAGGGCTGGGTATCTGCAATGAGGGTAAATGCAAGAAAACAACAAGGAGGCTTCCTTGGCTGACCAGAGAAATCCAGGGCAGCCTGCGGACTAAAAGGGGAGCATATAAGAAGTGGAAGCGGGGAGAGATTACCAAAGAGGAGTATACCTCCTCTGCTTGTGCTTGTAGGGAGGCAGTTAGACGGGCCAAAGCTACCATGGAGCTGAGGATGGCATCCCAAGTAAAGGATAACAAAAAATTGTTTTTTAGATATATAGGGAGTAAAAGGAAGGCCCAGGGAGGAATAGGACCCCTGCTAAATGGGCAGAAGCAATTGGTGACGGACAGGGGGGACAAGGCTGAACTCCTCAACGAGTTCTTTGCCTCAGTGTTCTTAAGTGCGGGGCACGACAAGGCTCTCACTGGGATTGTAGAGAGGCAGCAGCAAGGCACCAGACTGCCATGCGTAGACCCTGAGATGGTGCAGTCACGTGGAGGAACTAGATGCCTTTAAGTCAGCAGGCCTGGATGAGCTCCATCCAAGGGTACTGAAGGCACTGGCTG